CCTCAATTTTGCCTACAGTGGTCAGATGGTGTATGCCGGAACAGATACCTCTAACTAAAAACACCTGGAAAGGAGTGCTTTAACTTGAGATTTTCTGACAAAAACAAATTAAATGAGAAGATCAGATCTGTATCATGATATGAAACTCTCTATAGCCGAAGATTCACTAAACAAAGACATCAAACTTTGATTGCGTCTTGCATAATTATTTTTTCATTATATTATGTCCTAAACTAAGAATTTTAAACATCAAATCCTATTCTATAACAACATATCATTATCCTTTATTTATTTATTAATTCATTTATTCTAATTATCTATCTGTGACAGCAGAATGCATTTTGATTCATTGAATACAATTGTAGCACTACTTTTCATTTCTCTGGTTGTATGTGATGTAGTGTTGCACCATATGTGCAGTCATACATATACCAAAGGTAATGATGTCCATCTCATTCTTTATCTTTCCTGCCCTCATGCCTTCTCCCTGCCTCTCCCTTCCCTTTGCTCAAAGTTCCTCCATTTTCTCCATGCCTGCCCCCCATTATGGATCAGCATCTACTTATCAGAAAGAATATTTGGTCTTTGGTTTTTTGGGATTGGCTTACTTCGCTTAGCATGATATTCTTCAACTCCATCCATTTACCTGCAAATGCCATTATTTGATTCTCTTTTAATGCTGAGTAATATTCCATTGTGTCTTTATTCATTCATCTATTGAAGGGCCTCTATGTTGCTTCCACAGTTTAGCTATTGTGAATTGAGCTGCTATAAACATTAATGTGGCTGCATTACTATAGTATGCTGATTTTAAGTACTTTGGGTATAGACCAAGGAGTGGGACAGCTGGGTCAAATACTGGTTCCATTCCAAGTTTTCCAAAGAAACCCCATCCTGCTTTCCATATTGGTTGCACCAATTTGCAGTTCCACTAGCAATGTATGCGTGTGCCTTTCTCCCCACATCCTCGCCAACACTTACTGTTATTTGTATTCTTGACTCCCCCTCAATTTCAACCTCATTCTTACTAATCTGCTCTTCCAACTCTTGATTCCTACATTTCCTCATTATTTATTTATTTGGATTTATTTGCTATTACCTGTACAGAACCACATGACTGAATATCTATACTCTCACCAGTATCTACACTATCTCAATTATCTGGTATTCTTAATTTTTTATTACACCCACTTAGCCAAACAACAGCTCTAAATCAATTCTCTGATACAGCTTCTATGCTGCTACTAGAATAGAAGAACTGCTGAATGAATTCATCAAATATATATATATATATATATATATATATATATATAAAATCTTTCCAAATTCATGGTATTTAAGGTCACCCATGTTCTTAGTGAAGCTCGACTGTCTTCACCTCTTGAGTGTGTGTTTCTTTTCATACTTTTCTGAGAAGTTCCTGCTTGGATTCCATTAGTTCATTTCTTTCCACCCCTTACATATTACTTTTCAACAAGCTCTCATCACTCTCCCTATTTTATGTTTTTCTCACCTGCTTTCTTTGGAAGTTTGTATTAACCTTCAAGGTTTTAACATCTGCATCTATTTCCAAAACTTTCTACATCTTCTTCCACACATCTGTTTACTCAGAGCTTCAAATTCTTTTATATATAAAGCAAGAATAAATGATCTTATTACAATACAAGTAGGATTATAATACAAATTGTCAATATCCTCCAAAGACCTCAGTCTTTCTCAAATTAAATCCAGAGTTGTTATCTGGGTCCATAAGGCATATTCTGCACCTTACCTCCTTTCCCCGCATGATGTCTCCCAATCCATGACCTGCTGCTTTCCCAGCTCAAGCCATGTAGGCCTTATTTTTCTCAAACATGCCAGACAAGGTTCTGCCTTTGGGATTTGCATTCTGTGTCTCCCCTCTACTTGAATACGCTTCTCATGCTAGTCCAGGAACATTCTTCTTATTTTTTGTGGTGTTCAAGTGACACTTTTCAGTGAGAATTTTCATGATCATTGTACTTAAAACTGCATCCTTGCCTGTCCCAGCCTTACAAATATATTCTACTCACATTTTCTGCTTCATTTTCTCTATTGCATTTATAACAATTTTTCTACATTATTATCTAGTTTATTTTTTAATCATTCCCTTCTTCCCTCAATAGTCTAAGGTCCATGAAAATGGGGATTTTAATCTATTCATTGTTTTATTTCTAGAGCCCTTTGAAGTGCTGGTGATATAGTAGATTGTTCACTTCATGATTTAGTTAATGGAATGATCATGGGCCTGTAATTGTAGAGAGTTCATTAATGGCATTCAGAATCTTCCATACATCTACTTACTATGAGCTTTAGATTCCTGCTCTCAGGAAGGGGCAGTTAGCTTTCTTAACCTCAGAGGTACTTATAAGAAGTTATCTGAATAAAGGTAAGCTCACATAAATCTCCTTTCTTTGGCAATTACTGGCATAGGAGGAGGAATAAAAAGAAAATATTGGAGTCTGGTACAGTGGCACAAATCTGTATTCCCAGTGGCTTGGGAAGCTGAAGGATCACATGTTCAAAGCTAGCCTCAGCAACTTAGCAAGGTGCCAAGCATCTCAGTAAGACCCTCTCTCTAAATAAAATACAAAAAGGGCTGGGGATGTGGTTCAGTGGTTAAGAGCTCCTGAGTTCAATCCTTGGTATCAAAGAAAAATTAAAAAAAAATATATATCCACATTATGTAAAATGTGTGTGTGTGTATGTGTGTGTGTATATATATATATCCACATTGTGTGAAAGAACATGATTAAGAAACAATAATAATAATGAGGAAAAATTAAGTTTTTTATCTTTTAATTAGGAAAACTTGGTTTCTTTTATTTTGTCCAGAACTATTCTCTGGCTCTAGTCATACTATCACATCCAGCCGTGTTCTGTTTATTTCTTTCTCCCCTCCAGCTCTCATCTTCTTGTTTTTATCTTCTATTCATTGTTTTATTTCCATTAACACTCTCTTCCATTAACACTCTCACACAAACATATTTGTGTTATCATAAAAATATTGTTTTTGTATATCATTCAGTCTTTGGGAGATATTACTTGGATTATACTGATGTAATCAATTCAAAGATAATTAAGAAAAAATTTAGCCATATCGGTGATTTTAGTACCATTTGAAATAAGCCCAGAAATAAAATAACTGAATAAATGAAGACTCCAAATATAAAGATAGTTTTCTTTAGCACATTCTCTAATTGTCAAGGAGTTTTTACTAATCTATCAAGTTGTTTGGAGTCTCTTTTGACTTAAAAACAAAGTATTTTAATTCATAGTCTGTGGAATCTTAGCCACAAATATTTGGTTCCTAGGCTGTGAATGTGTATTTCTTTCTTGAAAGTTGCTGAGGTATTTGGCTCACTAAAATCTGTGGAAATGAGTGCTGTAGATTTATTAGGCACTCCATAGAAACATATTTCCTTTGTGTTTTAAATTAGTTGCATTTTAATATCATTGAACATGCCCTTGCTCTTGTTTCCATTTGTGGTCTTGTATCCAGTGGGAATTTATAGGGCTTGGATTTATTTAAATTATGCTGATGTATTTGATCTTTCAACATACAATGCATGGTAAAAATGGGTGGCTGTCCATATCCATAAATGAAATATGAGGGAAAAGACATACTGATAAATTCTCCACTAAATCAGATTTAATTAGATATCAAGAAGGAATAAAGCCTGGCCAAGTTTCCACGCTAAGTGTTACAGAGATCTTACAACAGGAAAAGGACATAGATATTCAAATGTATATTATAAAGCATTTTCTGAATTTTATAGGTGACAAAGCAAGAAAATACTTCTAATTCAGCCAAGCCACTTGTTGAGCAGAAACTTCCTCTCCCTTAAATCTTCTAATTACACTTTATAAATAGCTCAGGAAAACCACTCTACCTAACAGAAAGGTAATTAGACTTGTAAAACTATCATCTATTCTTGCCTACATTAGACCTTTAGAAGGTCATGTCTATATTATTCACATGTATTTAGCATGGTTTTGTTTTTTTCTTTCAGAATTTGGGCAGAATTTGATACTCTTGAATGCATTATGTGTAGATGGAGTCTTAGGTTGAGTACCCTGAGGTGTCTTGCCAATTGAAAATTCCTAGTAAATAATAACTTTCTGGTTTGTATTTTGTATACACTAAATATTATTTTAGTACACCAAAGTTTATTTAAAATGAGATACAGCCATATGAGCTTCAAGGATCCATGCACATACCCAGAAAAATACATTTCTTTGTCACAAAGTCATACATTGTGATTTTTACTTTCTCCCTGTATCTATCCATTATTTTCATCTTTCTCCTTCCCAAATACTTTCTCAAAAAGGGGAAAGGTTATGTTAAAACAATCATAGGCTTGGGAAAGGCACATCAGAACAGGTAGGGGAGAGCAATGTCCCATGTTCCTTCCATTACAGGTTCTCCATGCTCACTCTTCACTCTGGCCTTTGCCTTCCTTAAACATCGTATTTTGCTTAGGATTTAGAACACAGCAGACATGAGTAGTATTAGCTGTATAAGGTTGGTGAATTATGCTTGTAGATTCTTTTCTGTTTTCTAATTATAGAAAAAAATTAGACTCAAAATTTAAGAGTCCACAAATATGTTAAATGTCTTTATTTTAAAAACAGTAGAAAGTGCATTGTTATGATTGAATACCATGTAGCATGTTAAATACATGACATTTGAAATATAACAAAAACACTAAAAGAAATGATTGCACTAAAAATAATGTCTACATTCCTTGGACATTTATATAAATAATCCATTTCACCAATTTCATTTTATCCTGTACTGGAGAAGGGCTTGGAAACTTCCATTTCTTGTGACTGATTGATTTAGCACATTCTTTCTTAAGCTTCCATACCAGGCTTAACTTTCCTTCATACCTCCACAATTCTTTTAAACTTTCATCAATAGTTTTGAGCCTCTGCACTTTCCTCCTGTCCTTCTAATATCCTAATTTGTCATTCAATAGGATAACCAAAGTCATCTCCTAAGCTACCGTGGCACCAGCCCTTTTCCTCCATATTGGCAAGGTAAGTGTTCTTAGCATTAAAAAAAAGAGACTTAAACTCTAGAGTTACAATGCTATGTAAGTTTTATGAATGTTGGTATCGTCCCTTAATTCCTAATTGGAAATATAAGTTTTCTATAACCTCTTGCTGTGCTACTCATTCCATTTCCCTTCTGTCGCTTCTGGGACCATTTCCCATCAATCACGTGTACTTACCAACAACCTTTTAGGCTTTTGTCCACTGATTCCTTTTCCTACATTCCACTGTTTCCTTTTGCTATGAACAATACTGAACATTCTTATTCTATAAACATTTCCTTCACTCCTGCTCCCACAAATTAATCTACATTCTCATCACACATTTTTCTTGTATACTTATTTAAGGCATCAACATGTTTCGATTCTCCCACTTTACACTTCTTATTAATTTGAGGACTCAGCTGTTAACTATTTCTTTGATTTCAATCCTCTTTAATGTGAAAATAGTACTTCACTTGTTTCATTTCTCATCTAATCCCATTTTAAGAATATCAAACATTTTTGTGGAAAAATGCTCCTTCCTTGACTTTAATAAGAATAACTAGCACTATGTGTGTATTGAATGCTTTTTTTTTAGAGAGAGAGAGAGAATTTTTTTAATATTTATTTTTTAGTTTTAGGTGGACACAACATCTTTATTTTATTTTTATGCGGTGCTGAGGATTGAACTCAGCACCCCATACATGCCAGTGTGTTACCCCTTGAGCCACATCCCCAGTCCCAAATGCTTTTTTATATGTGCTGGACACTGGTCTGAGAATTATACACATTAACTCAAATCATGCTCAAAAGGATCCTATGAGATAGATATTGTAACTACCCTTCTTTCACAGCTAAGGAAATAAAGACAAAAGATTGCACAGTAGTGGGGCTTAAACTCAGTTAAGTTGCTTCTAGAAATGATGTACTATTATTTTGTTTTTGATATCATCTTTAGGATGGCCTTCCATTGATTGCCTTTATATTAACCTTTAAATTGGAAACATACATTTCACAATTGCAAAGTTATTTATCAATACAGTAAGAATTATGGATAACATAGAAATATATGAAATGAAAAATGGAAATTCTCTATTATCCTCTTACGCCTATGCCAATACTATCCCAAGAGAAAACTGTTGTGTGCTCTTCCAGATTGCTTTGCAGGCAATTACTTATAATATACATATTTATTTGAGTTTCAAAAATTTATTTCCAAAAATGAAAGCAGAGTATATGTATTTTTTTTCCATGACTTGACTTTCTTCACTTAGTAATATGCTTAGGAAGATAAGGGGATAAGGTTTTTTTTTTTTTTTTTTTTTTTTTTTTTTTTTTTTTTTGCTACATACAGGTCTGCATTATTCTATTTAATGGAGGCATTATACTCCTAAGCTAGAAATGGCTGACTTTTAGGTTATATCTTTTATTTTTTTTTACTATAAAGAATGATGCAATAAATCTACTTGTACAAATATCTTTGTGAACATATAAATAAGTCTTTCTGTAAAACTTATTGCTTTGTATTGAACTGACAGGTCAACAGGGTATGGTCTCTTGTAATGCTTACAAGTACTGATAAATTTTCTTCCACTATATTAGAGATCATATTTTGCACACATTTTCTATCATTGGATGTTCAAAAATTCTTATTTTAGTTTGAAATTCATTGATTTCAAATGAGCTTAAGTTTACTTAAATATTTCTTGCCTTTTTCACATTACTAATCCACTTAAATTATTATTTCTTTATTAATTGGTAAGGTAGTTATAAATTGTTACAAAACCTTAGAGGTTTTTACATATTGAAAATATTTTCTATTTTGTCAATTGCTATTTTCTTTTTAAAAATATAGTTACTACTGCTGCTAGCTTTTTGAATTGAAAATTTAATTCATTTGTTACCAACATGCTTCATTTTCTAATAAAGACATTAAAGCTTCTAAATTTTCCTTTTAATTCTTCCTTGACCATAATTCACAGATTTGGTATGTAAACCTTCATATTGATACTCATTTCTAAACATTACATATTTTGAGTTTCAATTTCTTCTTTCACCTAAAGGTTATTTAAAAGGGATGCTATTATTTTTTCCAAAAAGATATGTATTATCTATATAAACATTTATAAAAATTTGTGTCTTACATATATGTACACATATTTACTCATAAACAGTTTATTTATACAGTTATAATTTACTCATATAGTTATAATTATTTCAAAAATTAGTTCTACATTATCTAAGTTAAACATTTATTTGACGCTTTGTTTCTATAACAATAATAAGCTACTATATGTGTATCTTCTCAGAATATCTAGTAATGGAAATCTGAACTACATTATACATATTGATTAAAAGGAGCTTAACAAGGAAAGAAGGTGGTAATAAGCATGGTATATATAGTTTTTGACCCCAGAGTAGATGTTTTTGAATATCTTCTTACCTTCTTTTTTTAGACACATTTATTTATCATAAAGATCATAATGTGAAATAGACATATTTCATGCACATTTATGTATATTTTTCATGTCTATAAATTTGCACATACTGGATAAAAACATGTCTTGTCATTTGTACACAGTTTCAGTTTTAAACTTTTTAAGATTGCATAAAAACTCCATGTGGTCATATAAAGTGACAGAATTGAAATAATTCAAGTTCAGTTTCATGGGCTTTACAATCATGCATTGTCATCATTTATTTTAAGTTTTTGGAGGCAGGAATATGAGTTATCTCAGAGGATGATGACACCAATGGTACTGGAAGCAAGTCTGTAGCCTTAGGAGACGACTCTCCAAACAAATGCATGGGGCTGAGTCCACACATGCCTGGGAAGAGGCTGTGTAACTGGGAAGCCACTGACTTAAAAATCTAAGGAAATACAATATTTATTTAAGTATAAAATTGTGTTAATTTGAAGTTACATATAAATTGTTGAAACCTCCATAGCTGTAACATTTATTTAGGGCATATACAAAATTCTTTGGAGTAGGAGTAAATTTGTCACTAACATTGTTTAGGACCGCTGGAGCAGGGTGATAATAAAAAGCAGCCAGACTGAAGAGGCTTTATTACTGTTTGGAAATTTTCTACAGACAACATACTCCTTATCCACTACTGCTGGAGAAATCTATTTCCATAGCCAGTCCTTGCTATACTACAGAGAGGACAGGGAAAGTAAAACAAACATGTAAATCACAAAATAATAATTTCTAGAAGAGTGGATTTTAAATGTTCTTACCACAAAGAAGTGGTGAGTAATATGTAGTGGTTAATAACGTTAATCAATCTGATTTAATCATTTATTTCAATTAAGTATAAAGTGAAATAACAACAACAACAAAAAAGACTGAAAACTAAGGCAGATTTTTTTCAGTATAAATTCCAATACTAATAATTTGCTTTGAGAGGAAGTAAAAGAGGCAAAAATCCCTGCCATGCTCTTCAGCAACATTTTATTATATTACAGAAAAATTTGACAGCATAGCTATTATAAAAATATAATAAATCATAACTATAGGTTAAACAGTTAATTATGAACATCAATATGTAATGCAGCTTAATGCACTATATTAAAAATGAAATCTGTTACCACATATCCCTACAGAGGTAGGCTTCCTTTTACCTTTCTATATTATTGAAGGTTTAATGTTGTTTTTAAAATTTATTTTTAACTGATACATAAAAATACAAAAATTGTATATATTAGTTGTGTGCCTTGAAATGTTTCTATACATGGAAACACATTACATAATATTTAAATTAGGTTAAACATGTCTGTCTCTTCAAACATTTATAATTTCCTTATGGTGAAACTTTCAAAATACTTTCATCTAGCATTTTGAAATGTACAGTACATTATTGCTATCTGTAGTCATCATACTGTGCAACAGCACTACAGACCTTCTTGGTCTATTTAACTATAATTAGCACCCATTAATCAGCTCATCCTTACCCCTTCCAGGATCCCTCCTATCCCCTATAGGCCCCAGCCTCTGTTAACCACCACTCTACTCTCAACTTCTATGAGATCGACATCAACTTTTTTAGACTCCACATATGAGTGAGATCAGGTGTTGCTTCTCTTTCTGTGCTTGGCTTATTTCACTTTAAGTAATGACCTCTGGTTCCCTCCATGTTGTCAGAAATGACAGGTTTCATTCTTTTTGTGGCTAATATTCCATTGTGCATATGCACCACATTTTCTTTATCCATTCATCTGTGATGGACACAGATTGTTCCTACATCTTTGTTATTGAGAATGAATAGGAGTGCAGATATCCCTTTGCGATACTGATTTTATTTGCTTTGGGGGTTTAGCTAGAAGGTGTAATTACTGGATCATATGATAGTTCAATTTTTAATTTTTTGAGGAACCTTTCTCTATACTGTTCTCCACAATGGCTATTCTCATTTATATTCTCAACAACAGTATGTTTGAGTTCCTTTTTCTCCATACTTTTGCTAATACTTGTTATATTTTGTCGTTTTGAAAATTGCCCTTATAATTTGAATGAGAGGGTATCTCTTTGTGGGTATGATTTGCATTTCCCTGATACTGAGTGAGCCTTTTCTCACATACCTGTTGGCTGTTTGTATGTCTTTTTTTTTTTTTTTTGAAAAATGTCTATTTAAGTCTTTGACCCATTTCAAAATTGAGTTGTTTTCTTGCTCTTAATATTTTGAGTTCTTTATATATTTTTATATTAACTCCTTATTAAATGCATGATTTGCATACACTTGCTCCTATTCTATAGGCTGCCTCTTCACTCCTTCACTACATGAATTGTTTCCTTTGCTGTGCAAAAAAGTTCTAGTTTCTTCTAATCCTATTTGTCTATCATTGTTTTTGTAGCCTATACGTCAGGGGTTATTTCTGAAACATCCTTGCCCATCCCAGTGTCCTGAAGTGTTTCCCCTATGTGTGCTTCCACCCACTTTGAAATGATTTTACTATATGATTTGAAAGAAAGCTCTAATTTAATTCTTCTGCATGTGGATATT